GCCTGTGGGTGAACCCTGAGTGGGCATGGCCTGCAGGACGAGGAGGGAGGCCAGGTACACGCACAGTAGCGCCCGCAGCCCCATGGTGCCGTCCATGGTCTCAAGGCTCTGGCTGCCTCGTCACTTCGCTCAGACCGTTAATCAATAAAGTGCTAGATAAACATGGATTAAACATTAGACAAGGTGAAGGCAAATATTACAATTGGGGGGATCAAAATTTAACAGTGAAATCTTTCTCCTTGGGGGGATTCCCAGCTGTGTAAACTCCTGACCAGACTTGGACGGAGCCCCTTTGAATGGAGCTGACATGAAGGGTGAAGACCCCGATGGCTCATCTTATCCTGGGTCTGGCACAGGCAACACCAGTAATATGGTGACATGCGTCAAGAAGCCACAGTTAAAAGTGGACTTCTGAAGTTCGTTAGATGTTACTTTCAAAATTCTTTAAGTACCAGCAAACTTTTCACAGTTACAGTCTGGCCAGGGTGGCAGATAGTACAGCTTCCCAAGTGTCTGCCCACACCCATGTCTCTAGCCACACCAACCCTAGCAGTGGTTCTGCCAGAGGCCGTCTGGCCAGTCCTGGGGATGCTTAATGGGTGACCTGTGCTTTCGGACAGTTACTTCATCTCTCTGGACCTTCACATCCAAATTTGGAAAGAACAGAAGTAAGCCTCATCGCTCCTCCACCTGGGCAGGGATGCCTGGCCGGTAAAGAGGAGGCAAAGATGAATACTGTGTTTTCGTAATGGAGGGCTGAGTACGTGCCACGCATCGATCTAAGCCCTTTGCTGTCTCCTTTTATCCTCACGGTGTCCCTGGGACATTGGTCCCACAGCAGACGACAGGTCTTCAAACCCAGATCTTTCAGACTCCAAAGCCCAAGCCTATCAGGTACTGACAGAAATGCCCTCTGCATCATTAGGAAGAAAGGAGATGCAGAGTTGAAAACCCCAGGGACCACTTTGGGACCTTCAATTTCTTAATTTTTCTGCCCAAACTCTCCCTGTCTCCCACAAGCCACAGCACACAGGGCAGACATGGGCCTGGTCAATCCACACCATGGCCCTAGGTGGGATGTGCTGGCTGCCGTGACCCTGTTGGGGTGAGGGGTCCCAGAGGCCATTTTGATCTCTGTTTGCTTGTCTCGGACTTTGTCTCTCAGAACAGCTTCTGGGAAAAAGTTTATCATATCCAGGCCAGAATGACCTTCTGGTCTGTTTTCTGGCCTTTGTGGAAAATGAGATGGGTCAACATGAAATTGCATTTGAGGTTCTGTTGATTTCCTGCACAAGTATCAACCTAGCCTTGGTGGGTTAGGCATGGTGCCAGGCTCCAGGACACAATAATGACCTCGAGTACCTTGCTGTATTCAGTGAGCTGATGCATTGGGAAAAAGAGCCAGAGGACTCAAAAGAAGCCCAGTGAGTGTCAGGAGTGTCAGAAGCTAAAGAGGAGCACGAAGGAGCTGTAGTAACCTGGGAGAGGCATAGTTCACTCCCATAGGGCTTAGGGGAAGCCTCCTGGAGGAGGTGCCTGGGAAACAGAGCAGCCCTTGGGCAGGGGGAGGAGGAAGGACAGGGAGAGAAAATGGGTGGGTAGGTGTGAAGCATGCTTGCAGAAGGTGCAGTTGTCTGCACCTTGCGTCATGGAAGCAGGACCTGATGAAGAGGGTGGTGAAGGAGGCTCAGAAGTGGTTTGAGACCAGCCTGGCATAGAGGTCTGAAAGGGTCCCATCTTTTAGGTGGAAAACACTAAAGATCTTTTGAGCAGGGATGTGGTAAGATCGAGACTGGACTGTTGGGAGACAGCCAGCACCAAGCTTGGTCCATAGAACTACATTTGTCTGGCTTGTGGGGAGGAGAGAGGGTATGGGGAGAGTTAATAGTGACTAGTGCCTGGCCATCTTCTCAACATCTTTTGTGTCCTACCTCATGTACTGCTCACAACTAACCCCCAAGAGATGGGTACTGTTACTGCTCCCATGTTACAGATGAAGAGGAGAGGTGACTCGCCCAGTCACCACTAGCCCAAGTCACTCTCATCTCTCACCTACATGGCTGCTCCCCTTACTTCCACCCTACTCCTTCAGTGTACTTTCTGGCAGCAACCAGAGCCATCATTTAAAAATGTTGATCTGCTTGAGACCTTTCCCTGTCTTACACATTTCCGGGTCCTGAATGGTCTGCCCCACTGATCCCTCGTTCTCACCCAGCCATGCCCCCCCTTCCTTGAGTCTCTCAGCTTCAACCATACAGACTTTTTTTCCAATCTATGTAGGCAGATGCTTTTTCACTCATTCATTCATCAGCCCCACTTCATCCTCCATTCACACCTGCTGTGTGCCGCCAACCCCATGTCAACTGCTGGGGTTGGGGTCTTGAAGTAGACAGGGCTGGCCCAGTGCTGAGTTCAGACTGAGAACTGCGGAGGTGAAGTCACAAAATAAGTCCATTGAGCCTTAGCATATGATGCTCCCTTTGCCTGAAGAAGTTTTCCTTCAAACTTCAGTTCAAGGAATGATTGCTTAGGACAACTTCCCCTGGATGACCAGGCTGGACCTGATGACCTTTCAGCATGACATTGACCTTAGTTGGCAATGATAACGTATTAGCACACTTCTTTGATTAATGATCACCTCTCTCTTCAACTGTAAGCCCTACAGGGACAGGACTTTGTCTGTCTTATTCACTTTGCACCTCCAGGGCAGGGCACTAGCCTTGCACCATGCATGCCCATACTAAATGTCTGCAGAGTGAATGATAGGTTTGAAGAAGAGCAAGTTGGAGGAGGTAAAAAGTGGAGAGAAGATTCCCTCAAACATGAGGGAATCATGAGAAGTCAAAAGAACAGGAGTTGGACCAGGAGTTTGGACCAGGAGAACCAGAAAAGTTCTAGAAACCAAGAAAGGAGAGGACTCACCAGAGGGGCAGAGGCTACTGAGGGTAAGAGGGATGGATGAAGACTAAGAAAGGCATCTAGGGAATCTGAGTCATTTTCCAGGAAGCTTTCTTGAGGGCACGTGGAGCCAAGTAAATACAGGGGTTTTAGGAGTGAGCGAGCCATAAGCCTTCTAGAATGTTGTTTTGAGTGCTGACCAATGAAAGACAAAATTGCAAGCTGCAAAATAAAATATGTGCATTTATTTGGGGTCTTAGGGATTGCAATCCGGGAGACACAGATTCCACCAAAATTAAAAAAAAAATCAACTCTGGAGAGACAAAGTTCAGAGTTTTTAAAGAAGAAAGAGGGCATCTACATAAGTTGTTTTGAACAAAATGTGATTGTTCCTGGTATAGCTTTAGTTATACTAATCTATATGTGATTGATTGCCAGGGCTAGTGTTAGGCAGAAAGTCCATTTATGTCCATTTTGCCATGTAGCAGATGCCTTGGCTTTTAACTGAGTTCAGCAAAAATTCTGAGAATTTGAGACAGAAGACACACATAAACTCCATTTCCTCAACGTCCTCAATGTCCTCCTGGCTCCATTTTAAAGAACCCTGTTAGCAATGCTGACTCTGTTAGCATGAGTTTCTTAACTTCCCAGAGACTCAATTTCCTTAACTGTAAAATGAGGATGATAATAGTACCAGCTTCACAGGGTTGATGTAAGTATTAAAGATGCTAATGTACTTGTCTCTAAGAGGGGAATGGGGATTAACTGGAAAAAGCATGAATTAACTTTCTGGGGGCAATAGTATTAAAAAAAGAAACAAGCCCCAGATGGAGTCACCAACACCCAATAGGAAACCAAGACTTATTATGGTTTCAACCAAACCCAAGAATGTGACCTTCTAACAGTCAATCTGAAATTTCCTGATCAGCACTAGTGAGACAAGCTGTTCAATTAAAAACCCTGCCATTCTCTTCCCCACAAAAAAGAAGATGCCCTGGCCTGAAACTTTCAGTAATAGCTGAAAGTTATTTCTTCTCTTTCTTTTTCTTTTCTTTTTTTCCCCCAGCAATAATTTCCTTTCCTTGCCTTCCTTCCAGTAAAAACTTTCCATTTTGAACAACTCCTTAGAGTATCCCTCTACTTGCTAGACAGGATGCTGCCCGATTCATGAATCACTTAATAAAGTCAATCAGATCTTCAAATTTACTTGGTTGAATTTCTGTTCTTTAACATTTCCCATTCTCAACAGGGGTGATATTGCCCCCAACTGGGCAAAAAATTGTTCTTGGATGTAGACAAATCTTACATTTCAAAGGGATGGATTTCTCGTCCTTGAGAAAGACACTCCTGGATCTTAGGAGATACACACGTATCTAATAGAGACATAGGAAGGATTTACAATTGTGAGGTCTTTTAGGTAAATGCTCTAGGAAAGGGAAAGAAAATGTCGGTTGGATCAAATAATAAACTCTTTGGCAGCTTTGAGCTTTCACACACGGGTCTTTTAAGGAGGGTCCTCCTACGGACACTACCTTAAGCTGTTAAAAACCATGCTAGAATTTGGTCAAGTCACAGTGCAGGGGTTTGGATAGTTATGAGAGTACTTTGCATTTCCTAATGCACAAGCTGAAGCTTTTAGGGGTGAAGTGTACTGATATCTTCAGTTGCTTTTGAAATGCGTAAAAAATAAGATGGATTGCTAGATGCATACATTAACCATTGTGTGATAAAGCAAATGTAACAAATGTTACTTGTAGAATCTAGTCTGTCATCCCTCGATTAGAATGGGAGCCTCAGGAAGAGAGGAACTCTGTCGGTCTGGCACATGGTAGGCGGTTAACAAAACCACTTGTAAAACGAACGGCGAGTATTTTCAAAAAGCGCTTAGGTCAAGTATGTGCTCAATACGTGGAAGCTTCTATTCGTTTATTGTTCCCGGCAACCCGGAAGTTCTCGGCGGTGGAACTGAGGCAGAAGGCGCGCGCGCCAGGACCAGCGGAGTCGCTCTGGCCGCCCGGAGCTTGGGCTCTATGGCGGATCCTCCTGGATGGCGGAACCGCTCTGGCCGCCTGGCGCTTCGGCTCTGTGGTGGGTGCTTCCGGGCCGCGGGAGCATGCGCGGGGCTGCGCTGGCCGGGATCGCTATGGCAGCGGCGTCGCTGTGGGCCCAGCCTCCGAGCTCGCGTAGGGGCCCGACAGTCTCAGCAGCCGCCAGCACAGCGGCCTCTTGGGCATGAGCGGGGTCTCCTGCCGCGGCCCGCGACCCTGGCCGCCGCTGCCGCCGCATCACAGCTTTGGGCCGGCGCCGGGAACATGCCCCTGGCCGCCTACTGCTACCTGCGGGTCGTGGGCAGGGGCAGCTACGGGGAGGTGACGCTCGTGAGGCACCGTCGGGACGGCAGGCAGGTCGGCGGGGTTGGGGCCCGGCAGGGGGTGGAGGGCAGGCAGCTATATGCCGAGGCCGCAGTCCAAAGGCTAGGCTGCGGGTGGTCTGAAGGGGGCTCACCTCGGATGTCCCTTCTTCAGGGAAGCCGTCCCACACCACCAAGAGTAGGCCAGGCCTTACTGTAAGACGCGCCCCACACTCCCTGTAGTTCTCCTTGATAGTATTAATTGTTGTGCTTGATCTACGCACCTCCTCCACTCCTGACAATTCCGTGAGATCATTCATTCCCACAATCTAACACAGCGCCTGGCAGGTATTACTCTTTGAAGGGCCGCGTACATCTGACCTGGAGACTGTTGGACTCACTTAAAATTCATCATCTTCCCGCCAAACCTTTCATGGTCCCCATTTCAGTGAGTAGGACCACACACCATCCACTTGCCCCAGCTGGACATATCCAGGTGTCATTCTTGATACACACCACTGCCCCCATTCGTTTGTCCACTAAGCCAGCAGGCCTCTTCTCTATCTCCACTGGTACCGCCCCAATCCAGGACATCGTAATCTTTAGCTGAGCTGTGGCCGTGGCTTCCACTGATCCTCGCTCTTCAATCCATCACTTTCATTGCCATCTCAGTGATCCCTCTAAAACTTACAGCTAATGCTGTCACTCCTTTCTTTAGAGCACTTTATCCCATGACCCTCAGGATGAGCCAGTTCTCTAAAAGGGTTTGTAAGTAGGGTGACCATATAATGTATCATACAAACTGGGACAATTTCGAGACTGGAAGGAGGCGCTATTAATAATTACACCAAGACAGGGGCGCCTGGGTGGCTCAGTTGGTTGGGCGACTGCCTTCGGCTCAGGTCATGATCCTGGAGTCCCGGGATCGAGTCCCACATCAGGCTCTCTGCTCGGCGGGGAGTCTGCTTCTCCCTCTGACCCTCTTCCCTCTCATGCTCTCGGTCTCTCATTCTCTCTCTCAAATAAATAAATAAAATCTTAAAAAAAAAAAAAATAATTACACCAAGACAGTGGCAGTGCCCCAGGCAAGCTGAAAAGAGATGTCCCTCCCAAGTATAAGGCTCTCTAGTCTATTCTGCTTGGTGGTGCTGGTAGCTCTGCCTGGAACACAAACTCAGGTTTAAGAGATTTATTCAGTAGCGATAGGGGGAATGGGGTGGGTGTGTCATTGGATTTTTTGAGTGGAGAATGGGGTATTGATGGGAATAATAGCCCCTCACATTTGAGCAGTAGTTTACACTTTACAAAGCACATTTATATATATCCTTGTTGATTAATGAACTGTATGGACTGTTAATTGGTTGTGGGCAATGTATCAGGACAAGGTGTCAGGGGATATTGACTTTCTTTTTAAGTGGGAATAATTTTTAATGTTGCGAATCAGTGATTTTTAACCTTATTAGGCCATGGATCCCTTTGAGTATCCAATGCGATCTATGAATCCATTCTGTCCGCAGATGTATTTTCTTTTTTTAAGATTTTATTTATTTATTTGACAGAAAGAGAGAGAGACAGCTAGAGAGGGAACACAAGCAGGGGGAATGGGAGAGGGAGAAGCAGGCTTCCCGCCGAGCAGGGAGCCCGATGCGGGGCTCGATCCCAGGACCCTGGGATCATGACCTGAGCTGAAGGCAGATGCTTAATGACTGAGCCACCCAGGCACCCATGCAGATGTATTTTCAAGCCTTATATTATATACCTTTGTAAGGGAAACTTAGAGGTTAAGGAATCTTTACTACAGGTTTTATGGTTGATCCAGTTGTATGTTAACATGGACTCATTTTTTAGCCATTAATGAAATTGTAAAATGCAGATGGAAAGTATAATAAATTTTTTGTGACCCTCCAGCCTGTTATAAGTCTAACCTGTTGAAAATATCAGTAAATTAGAGCAAATCTTTTCCCTAGTTTTGTGCTTTGCAAATAACAAAATGAATAGGTTGTCTGACAGGCTCCTGGAGGTTGGTTTTGAGGACCATTTCAGGAGAACCCTTCAATATTCTGCACCTATAAAACTGTATGCTTATTTGCACCTTGTAAAATCACGTGTTTTCTCCATAGTATGTCATCAAAAAGCTGAACCTCCGAAATGCCTCCAGCCGAGAGCGGCGAGCCGCTGAACAGGAAGCTCAGCTCTTGTCTCAGTTGAAGCACCCTAATATTGTCACCTATAAGGAGTCATGGGAGGGAGGCGACGGTCTGCTGTACATCGTCATGGGCTTCTGCGAAGGAGGTGATCTGTACCGAAAGCTCAAAGAACAGAAGGGGCAGCTTCTGCCTGAGAGTCAGGTGGTGGAATGGTTTGTTCAGATTGCCATGGCCCTGCAGGTACTGTCCAGACACAGCATTCCACTCGCTCCAAGGTGACAGGGGGATGGCAGGTGGATTTTAGGAAACTGCTTCCCCGAATGCTTACGTGAAAAAAAAACGTATTTAAAAAAAAATCCATTTATGAAGTAGACTCAGTCCCTTTCACTATAGCATTAGAGTGTTTCTGAATGAATGATGTCTATATTGAAGTAGACGTGGATTTCAGTTTGCAGGGGATGCCAGTTCTCTGTTCATTTAATATTCACAGCAAAATCAATTTTAAGGGCCCTGAGTTGACAAAGCAAAAAATGACCATGTCTGTTATCAGCTAGTCAGCTATGTCTTATTGAAAGGTGGTTGGGCTAATTAATATGCTTAAACTGTGAGGGTATGGGCTTTAACCCTGCTGTGGCAGAGTGAGTGGAAATACAAAACATGTTTGTGTTCGAATATACACACATTCAAATGTAAGACTGTTTATGAAATACCACTCTGGATCTGGACAGATATGTCCAGAATGGATTGACCTTGTGTCAATTTTAGACACTGTGTCTAAATAAAAGTGATCTTGTTATATTTGAAAATATTATTAAGCTGAAGATTTCATGAGTCTGAGGGGAGTGTGCATCTGACCCTGTACAAGTTGTCTTTGTCCCTTCAGGGGGAGTTTGTAAGCGTATTTTTAACTGGATCCATTTAATGCTAGATGGTAAAATTGTCAAGGTACCAGGGAATAGTTGTGAAGGATAGATACTGGGCAAATTAATGCATGGAACTTAATTTCTTGCTTTGGAAAGTTGTAAATCAGACTTTTTATTTAGAGATGATTAAAACAGTAGTGTTTTGTTATTCAGGTGACTGAAACTCTTTCACTCATGCAATTGTTGATGGTATGTAAGAAGTCAGGAATATGTAAGTAGGTAAGTGTTTTTATATTTAATGAAGTTTTATTTCTCTCCTCAGTATTTACATGAAAAACACATCCTTCACCGAGATCTGAAAACTCAAAATGTTTTCCTCACAAGAACAAACATCATCAAAGTGGGTGACCTAGGAATTGCTCGAGTGTTGGAGAACCACTGTGACATGGCTAGCACCCTCATTGGCACACCCTACTACATGAGCCCTGAATTGTTTTCAAACAAACCTTACAACTATAAGGTAGGATTGAGCTGCATATGCCAGCTCACCCTGTCTCTAGGACAGTATTCATAACTTCAGAACCCATCAGATAGAAAGTCAGAGGAATTCTCTGTGAATTGGCTTGAGGAAAATGTTTTTTGGTCTTTGGTTTTTCTTTAGATTTCTTTTTTTATTTATTTGAGAGAGAGAGAGAGCAAGAGAGCGAGCACCAGCAGGGGGGAGAGGGAGAAGCAGGCTCATGGTGGGCAGAGAGCTCAATGTGGGGCTCGATCCCAGGACTCTGGGATCACGACCTGAGCTGAAGGCAGATGTTACCTGCCTGAGCCACCCAGGTGCCCCGAAAACGTTTTTTTGTTTTGTTTTGTTTTGTTTTGTTTTTCTCAGAGGAAAAATGTCAGTAAGGCATTCTGACATTTGATTATTTACTATTTTTCTTTTCTAGTCTGATGTTTGGGCTCTGGGATGCTGTGTTTATGAAATGGCCACCCTGAAGCATGCTTTCAATGCAAAAGACATGAATTCTTTAGTTTATCGGATTATTGAAGGAAAGGTAAAGATTATTCTGAAACTAATTGTTTTTCATATTTGAAGCAAGGTTAAGTTAATGCAGCTTTGTAAGTAGCTATTGGCAAAAATGAGTCATCGTTGATGTCAGGTGGATAGGTAAGAAGAGTAGGCCCCTTCTATGGAGAAGGTTGAACTAGAAAGAGAAGGCATTGATCATTTTTTAATACTAATTTGTAAAGGTGGCTTAATGGTTCTGAAGAATTGGCTTTTTGAAAACCACCACCTTGTAACCACAGGATATTCAGGTGCCCTGAGACGATATTGGTAGCTTCTCCTGAGCAGCCGTGGTTAAATGAGCCCCATCTAAAATGAGTCCACTCTGGGCAAAGTACGCATTCCATTCCCAGCTTGCTCAGTACTTGGTGATTAGAAGACACTTTGCAACAATGTAAAATAATAATGATAATAATAAATAAAAATCAGTCTACTCTTTGAAGGTGTTGCTCCTTTGGTAATCATCACAATTATAAGTAGCCAATTAAGAACTGCAGAAAGCAATGTGTACGATACAGACACCAGAGTGACCACGTTTATATATTACTTCCCACGAGGCTAGTTGTCCTCTGCAGTGTTCGGTATCCACACACCATTAAGTTTTATTTATTTATTTTTAAAGATTTTATTTATTTATTTGACAGAGAGAGAGAGACAGCGAGAGAGGGAACACGAGCAGGGGGAGTGGGAGAGGGAGAAGCAGGCTTCCCGCTGAGCAGGAAGCCCGATGCGGGGCTCAATCCCAGGACTTTGGGATCATGACCTGAGCCGAAAGCAGATGCTTAATGACTGAGCCACCCAGGAGCCCCACACACCATTAAGTTTTAAAGCTGTAAACCACCTACTGATTTTAATATTATGCCAAGACTCACTTTCTTAATTTCAAAATATTGAAAAACACAAAAAGTAAACCATACCTGTAATTGCACTACTTAAGACTCAAAACAAGAAAGGAGTGAAATTTCCCTCTCTTTTTATTCTTTTCTATCCACTGGAGATCACCATTGCTAGGAATTTTGTGCATAGCCTTCCTAGCGTTTTCCTGTCTATATATATATCTCAGTCTGTGTGTATATATGCACATAAACACACGGGCACTTTTAAACAGTAACTGAGATGGAATCAGATAGTACATATTGGTATACAACTTGCTTTTTTGACTTAATATACAAGGGACATCTTTCCAGTTCGGTACCTGTCATATTTTTTAAGAAGCTGCCTAACATTTTATTAGAAGGATGTACCATAAGCTATGCAATGGATAGACATTTAAGTTGTTTCCAGTTGTTTACTACTGCAAGAACAATGTTGCAGTGAATATCCTGGTCTTTGGGAACTCATGCTTTTATTTCTGAATGAGAGAGTCCTCAAATGGGACTGCTGGCTTGAAAGATACACTTTTTTTTTTAAGATTTTATTTATTTATTTGACAGAGAGAGAGACAGCTAGAGAGGGAACACAAGCAGGGGGAATGGGAGAGGGAGAAGCAGGCTTCCCGCCGAGCAGGGAGCCCGATGCGGGGCTCGATCCCAGGACCCTGGGATCATGACCTGAGCTGAAGGCAGACGCTTAATGACTGAGCCACCCAGATGCCCCAAAAGATATACTTTTATAGTCTCACAACTTGCTGCTATGACCAGGACACTAGTAAGCTTCCTGTATGCTGGCTCTTTTCTTCTGTGGATAATGACTTTAAAGAAATATTTGGAAACATCTACTTTGTCCTTATACTTTGCTTCAAAAGACCAGAGTCATAATTGTGATATTATTTCTCTTTGTAGCTGCCACCAATGCCAAAAGATTATAGCCCAGAGCTGGCAGAACTGATAAGGACAATGCTGAGCAAAAGGCCTGAAGAAAGACCCACTGTGAGGAGCATCCTGAGGCAGCCTTACATAAAGCGCCAAATCGCTCTGTTTTTGGAGGCCACAAAGGCGTAAGATATTCCCTTGCAAATAGGTGGCTAAATAGATGAATAAAAGAAGGTAGCTTCTATAATTCTCATATGTAGAATTTATGGTGAAGTTTTATTTATTTATTTATTTTGAGAGAGAAGGGAGGAGGGGCAGAGGGAGAGGGAGAGAGAGCATCTTAAGCAGGCTCCACACCCAGTGCAGAGCCCAACGTGGGCTCGATCTCACAACCCTGAGATCATGACCTGAGCTGAAATCAAGAGTCAGATGCTTAACTGACTGAGCCACGCAGGTGCCCCTGTGGTGAGCTTTTTTAAACATGAAGGAAGGGGTGCCTGGGTGGCTCAGTTGGTTTAAGTGACTGCCTTCGGCTCAAGTCATGATCCCGGAATTCCGGGATCGGGTCCCGCATTGGGCTCCCTGCTCGGCGGGGAGTCTGCTCCTCCCTTTGACCCTACCCCCTCTTGTTCTGTCTCTCTCACTCTCTCAAATAAATAAAATAAAATATTAAAAAAAAAAAACATGAAGGAAAATTGCATGATTAGGACGTGTGTTGAGATTTACTTAATTGCTAAAATCAGAAATCTAGAAAACCATTTAGAGAATCACTTTAACATTCCTTAGAGGGTCCCAAGACATATCAAGTATGATTCTTTCAAAAGGCTGTATGTTTTAGAAACCATATGAAAATGAAATTATCTAAGAAGCCTGTTATATTATGTACTATGTGAGAGTCACATTTAAAAATTAAGCACTCAAATTTCTGAGAATTTCCATAAATTTCCCTCTTCACGCATATAATTTCTCAGGAGAAAAATTTCTTTCTTTGACTTACAGGGGTTACCTTCACTAAATAGCTGTTCCAAGATCTAAGAGCTGCACGATCTCTGCCTTGTGACATGTTAGATTTAAGAGTAATACTAGAGAGGCCCCAGGGGATAAAGAAAAACCATCTTTTTATTTACACCGTCTATAATTTGCACCAAACAGACCTTTGGCCTTCCGCAGCACTGGTCTCATGGTCCTTTTGAAGTCTCCAGAGGGTTAGTTAGCTCAGTTGTAGAAATGTCACACTAAAGGGGGTTAATCCTGTACACTTTCATTCTGCAAGTCCAGGCTGAGCACACCAATCATTCTTACTCTCAAACTTGGCAAAGCAGTTGTGGTATAATTACAAACATGCGAAACTTGACAATTATGCTGGTTCTTCTGTACATGAGGTAATTTCTCATTGATTTTTTATGGTGGAATAATCTTGTATTTACAGACAAGTTGCAGAGATCGTACAGAGAGTTTCTGTACACCCCTCCCCCAGCTTCTCCTATCATAAACCTCTTACATTACCATGGTACGTTTGTCAGAACTAAGAAAACAACATCAGTACCTGACTGTTGACTAAATTCCAGACTTTATTTGGCCCTCACCAGTATTTCTACTAATGTCCTTTTTCTCTTTTAGGATCCAATCCAGGATACCATATTACATTTAGTCCTCCTGTCTCCTTAGTCAACCAAGTTTCTCACTTTCTTGGTTTTTCACGACCTTGATTGATTTTGAGGAGTACTAGTCAAGTGTTTTGTGGAATGCCCCCTGGTTTTTAGAATACTATTTTCTCTAAATGGAGCAGTTTTTATAATACATATACACATTTCCCAGATATGTAAAAACCTTTCATTTTCACTATACTGATGATAATTTTTTCTTTTCTGCCTCATAAAGAAAAACCTCCAAAAGTAATATTAAAAATGGCGACTCTAAGTCAAAGCCTGTTCCTGCAGTGGTCTCTGGAAACGCTGAATCAAGTCATAAAGTAGTTCCCCTCCAGTCACACTCTTCTGAGGGCTCCAAGACATATGTAATGGTATGTATTTTAGAAACTATTAAAACGAGGGGCGCCTGGGTGGCTCAGTCGTTAAGCATCTGCCTTTGGCTCAGGTCATGATCCCAGAGTCCTGGGATCGAGCCCTGCATCGGGCTCCCTGCTCACCGGGGAGCCTGCTTCTCCCTCTCCCACTCCCCCTGTTTGTGTTCCCTCTCTCGCTGTCTCTCTCTCTCAAATAAATAAATAAAATCTTTAAAAAAAAGAAAGTATTAAAACGATAGGTTATTTAAGCAGGTTATATAACATGATATTAACCATTTTATGGTGAACCATTAATTGCATTTAGTGCATTCACAGTGTTGTGCAACCACCACCTCTATCTAGTTCCAAAGCATTCCACGTCACTGCAAAAGGAAACTGCAAACCCATTAAGTAATCATCCTCATGCTGTCCTCCACCCGGCCCCTCGAATCCACCAATGTGTATTCTGTCTTTATGGATTTGCCTATTCTGAGTATTTCATATAAATGGAATCATAATATGTGACCTTTCGTGTCTGGCTTCTTTCACTGAGCATGATGTTTTTGAGGTAGCATGTATCAGTACTCCATCTATTTTTATGTCTGAGTAATATTCCACTGTACGTATGCACCACAGTTTGCTTATCCATTCATTCATTGGTGGATATTGAGTTGTTTTCACCTTTTGGCTGTTGGTATGAAAATTTGGGTACAAGTCTTTGGGTCCCTGTTTTGGGATATATACCTAGGAGTGGAATTGCTGGGTCATGTGGTAGTTCTATATTTACTTTCTGAGGAGCCAACACACTGCTTTCCAGAGTGGTTGCATTTTACTTTCCTACCAGCCAGTGCACAAGAGCTCCAGTTTCTCCACAACCTCACCAACTCTTGTGATTTTCTACTTTTCTGATTCTAGCCATCCTAATGGATGTGAAGCAGTATCTCAGTGTAGTTTTGACTTGCGTTTCGCTAATGACTAATGACGTAGCATCTTCCCACAAGTTTCTTGGCCATTTGTATTCCTTCTCTGGAGAAATGTCTGTTAAGCGCTTTGCCCAGTTTTTAATTGGGTTTTTTGTATTTTTGTTGTTGAGTTCTAAGAGTTCTTTCTATAGTCTGGACAGTAGATCCTTATACATGATTTACGAGTATTTCTTCTCATGCTGTAGGTTGGCTTGTCACTTTCTTGATAATGTCCCTTTATGCACAAAAGCTTTTAATTTTGATGAAGCCCAATTTATCTGTTTTTTTCTTATGTTGCTTATGCTTTTTTTTTTTTAAAGGTTTTTTTTTTTTTTTTTAAGATTTTATTTATTTATTTGACAGAGAGAGAGACAGCGAGAGAGGGAACACAAGCAGGGGGAGTGGGAGAGGGAGAAGCAGGCTCCCCGCAGAGCAGGGAGCCCAATGTGGGACTCGATCCCAGGACCCCGGGATCATGACCTGAGCCGAAGGCAGACGCTTAACCGACTGAGCCACCCAGGTGTCCCTGTTGCTTATGCTTGTGATGTCATATCTAAGAATTCCTTGCCAAATCCAAGTCCATGATGATGTTTGCCTGTTTTTTTTCTAGGAGTTTTATATTTTCAGCTCTTATATTTAGGTTGTTGATTCATTTTAAAAGTTTTAAATTTTCTATTTATTGTGGTGAAATAGATATGACATAGAATTTGCCATTCTTAAAAAATATTTATTTATTTTAGAGAGAGCATAAGCAGGAGGGGCAGAGGGAGAGAGAATCTCAAGCCGACTCCACGCTGAGTGCAGAGCCCAATGCGGGGCTCAGTCCCACAACCCTGAGATCACAACCTGAGCTGAAACCATGAGTCAGATGCGTAACCAACTGTGCCACCCAGGCACCTCAGTACTTGCCATTTTGAGCCTCCTCTAAGCCTACAATTTAGTGGCCTTAGCTACACTCACAATATTGTGCAACCATCACCATTATCTTCCAAAACCCTTTCATCACTCTAAGTAAACTTTGTATTCATTAAGCAATAGTTCCCAATTCCTCCTGTTCCCAGGCCCTGGTAACCTCTAATCTACTTTCTGTCTCTATTAGTTTGCCTATTCTAGATGAGTGGAATCATACATTATGTCCTTTTGTGTCTGGTTTATTCCATTTAGCATGTTTTTAAGGTTCATCCATGTTGTAGCATGTATTAGTACTTCATTCCTCTTTATTGGCTGAGTAATATTCCATTGTTATGTGTATATCATATTTTGTTTATCCGTTCATCTGCTAATGGACATTTAGGTTGTTTTCACCTTTTGGCCAGTGTGAATAATGCTGCTAGGGATTATTTAACCCCTATAAACATTGGTGAGTAAATATCTGTTTGAGTCCTACTTTCAGTTCTTTGGGATATTTACCTAGGAGTGAGATTGCCAGGTCATATGGTGATTTTATGTTTAACTTTCTGAGGAACCTGCTGTACCTTTTTTGAGTTAATTTTAAGTGGTATGAGGAGTGCTGTAATAAGTTGGAAGCATATTTTCACTCAGGGTGAAGACAAATGTTTGTCCCAGGAGAAACCCATAGTCATTGGCCCCTTGAAGATACCAGCAAGTCTGAAAGGCTACATCTGCAAACCAGATGTGAGCAATACCTCAGAATCGTTAGCCACCATCAGTAAAGTGAATATTGACATCTTACCTGCAGAAAGAAGGAATTCACTGAGCGACGACTTAGTTCGGGAGAATCAGCCAAGACACTTAGATGCCTCTAATGAGCTAGAAAGTAAATGCAGTATTTCTCAAGTGAAGGAGAAGCTGCAGGATGGCACTAAGCCCAGCCCTCAACCCAGAAACCTAATTCCCGCGTGGTCCTCTGATGATGTCACTGGGGAAAGGAATGACCCAGTGAGACCTCTGCAGCCCCTCAACAAAGACCAAAACCTGAAAGACCAGGTGAGTGATATGCATGAGGTGCTGGTTTCAGAGAGAACTGGAAAGCGCAGTTACGAAGATGTGGGTTGTGTTGTTTATTGTGTTCTAGTTGGCATTTTAGGTAAACCAGTTATTCTGTGTGCCAGTTTAAACATTACAGAAACCAAAGGATAGGACCCACAGGATTCTTAGATGCGTTGTACCCCACTGTAGGGTATTTGGTAGAAGCATGCTATTTGTATGTTTTCTCCCATTTCTTTGTCACTCTTCCTTAGGCCTCCATGTGGATGGGTAGTTCTACCAAGTAGGTAACATCACATTTCTTCTTGCGCTTGGAAAGTTAGTGATTGATCTTATTTCTTAAGGAATAAAAAAAAGTATTTTATGTGTTGCAACCAAAGGGGAAGGAAGAGAAGAAGAAAAGGAAAGGAGCAAAAGGATTTTGATACTAAGAGACTATTCTAGTAAATTTAAAGGTTAACTTCTACTTGAACTTGGAAAGAAGTGTAAGTTAGATAAAACATGGCTATAGCTGAGGATTAGAGAGAAAGCCAGAACATTTGGTGACCTTTTCATTTTTATATGTAAAATATTCTAAAAATATATTTAAGATGTATTTTAACTATTTTTATAATCTGTGCTAAAATATTTAAATTTGATCTATTAGATTTTTATATTTCATATCTTTTATATAAGATATATAAAACTATTTTATACATTTATATTGAAATGTTTAATTTTTATTTTTTTTTAAGATTTTATTTATTTGAGAGAGAGGGAGAGAGAGAGCGTGTGGGCATGCACAAGCAGGGGGAGAGGCAGGCAAGAGAGAGAAGGAGAAGCAGGCTTCCCACCGAGCAGGGAGCTGGACATGGGGCTCGATCCCAGGACCCTGGGATCATGATCTGAGCCGAAGGCAGACGCTTAACTGACTGAGCCACCCAGGTGCCCCTATTTTCAAATGTTTTAAATAAATTTTTGTTTTTGTGGAAAAGTCCAAGTATAACGCTCTTGTCATTTAAAGTCATTAGATTGAAGTCTTAAACTTTCTTTGGACACTGGAATTCTTAGTACTTTGTGGATAAAACTATGTGTCCTGCTTGTTCTGCTTGGCTCTCAAATTATATTCAGGTTCACTTCTTTCATTTTCTTCTGTTTAGTTTTCTAATTTTTAAAGTACCGATTCAATGGTTTTTAGTATATTTGTAGAGTTGTATAGTCATCACTGTCTAATTCCAGAACATTTCCATAACCTTAGAAAGAAACCCCATACCCACTAATAATAGTTGCAATAATAATTGCTCCTTGCCCCCAGCCCCTGGCAACCATTGTCTGTAAGGATTTGCCTATTCTGAGCATTTCACATACAGGTATACCTCATTGCAGGTTCAATTCCAGATCACCACAATAGAGCGGATATTGCAATAAAGGGGTGTCAAATTTAAATTTTGGTTTCCCAGTGCATATAAAAGTTACATTTACACTACAGCCTAACCATCCTTCTGAACTTTCAGCAAGTCATAATCTGTTTGCTGGTGGAGGGTCTTGCCTTGAGGTTGATGACCGGTGGTGGTTGCTGAAGGTTGGGGTAAGTGTGGCAATTTCTTTCAATAGGACGACAGTGAAGTTTGCCACATCTATTGACTCTTCCTTTTACTTAAACACTTAGAGGCCATTGTAGGGTTATTAATTGGCCTGATTTTAATATTGTGTCTCAGGGAATAAGAAGACCTGAGGAGAGGTGGAGAGATGGGGAGCAGCCAGTCGGTAGAACAGTCAGAACACACACATTTGTCAATTAAGTTCTCCATCTCTTATGGACACAGTTTGTGGTGCCCCCAAACAATTAAAATAGTAACATCAGAAATCACTGATTACAGATCACCGTAACAAAAACAATACTATTGAAAATGTTTGAAATATTGTGAGAATTACTAAAATGTGACATAGAGGCGTTAAAGCCAATAGACTTGCTCATTGCAGGGTTGCCACAAACTTTGCATTCGTAAAAAAACCACAATTATCTGTGAAGCATAATCAAGTGGAGCACAGTAAAATGAGGTATGCCTATAAATAGAATCATACAATTTATGGCCTTTTGTGACAGCTTCTTTTACTTAACATGATGTTTTCAAGGTTTATTCATGTTGTAGCATCTACCAGTATTGCATTCCTTTTTATTTTTTTACTTTTTTTAAGGAATTTTATTTTACTTTTTTAAAGATTTGTTTATTTGAGAGAGAGAGAAAGTGAGAGAGAACACAAGCAGGGGAGAGGGGTAGAGGGAGGCGCAGACTCCCCACTGAACAGGGAGCCTGATGTGGGACTTGATCCCAGGACCCTGGGATCATGATCTAAGCCGAAGGCAGACATGTAACCAACTGAGCCACCCAGGCATCCCTGCATTCCTTTTTAAAATACCAAATAAATTCACTGTATGTATACACCATATTTTATTTGTCCATTCATCAGTTCATAAGCATTTGGGTTGTTTTCACTTTTTGGTTACTATGGATAATGCTGTTATGAACATTCTTTTTTTGTTGTTAGTGTTATGAACATTCTTATACAAGTTTATGTATGGACATATGTTTTCAGTTCTCTTGGGTATATACCTATGATTGGAATTACTGGGTCATATGGTAACTCTATGTTTAACTTTTTGAGGAACTCTAAGACTGTTTTCCAAAGCAACTGCATCATTTTACTTCCCAACAATATATGAGAGCTGCAATTTCTCCACATCCTCACCAATACTTGCTATTTTCTGGTTTTTTATCTAGTTATCCTAGTGAGTGTGAAATGGTATCTTACTGTGGTTTTGATTTGCATTTCCCTAATGACTAATGATCTTCAGCATCTATTCATGTGCTTATTGGCCATTTGTATACCTACTTTGGAGAAATATCTGTTCAGGTCCTTTTTTCACCCCTTAAGATTTTATGTATGTATTTATTTGAAAGAGAGAGCGTGCAAGCTGGGAGCAGAAGAAGAGGGAGAGAGAATCTCAAGCTGACTCCATGTAGAGCATGGGACTTGATCTCATAACCTTGAGATCATAACCTGAGCCAAAATCAAGAGTCAGCCGCTTAGCCAGCTGAGCTACCCAGGTACCCCAGAAAAGAACGTTTTTTAAAAAAATGTAAATCGGGGGTGCCTGGGTGGTTCAGTCATTAAGCGTCTGCCTTTGGCTCAGGTCATGATCCCAGGGTTGTGGGATCAAGCCCGGCATCGGGCTTCCTGCTCGGTGGGAAGCCTACTTCTCCCTCTCCCACTCCCCCTGCTTGTGTTCCCTCTCTCGCTGTCTCTCTCAAATAAATAAAATCTTTAAAAAAAAATGTAAATTGGGAGGGTATGTGTTATGGTGAGTGCTGTGAATTGTGTAAGACTGGTTGAATCACAGACCTGTACCTCTGAAACAAATAATACATTATATGTTAAAAAAAGAGAAGAAGGGGCGCCTGGGTGGCTCAGTTGGTTAAGCGACTGCCTTCGGCTCAGGTCATGATCCTGGAGTCCCGGGATCGAGTCCCGCATCGGGCTCCCTGCTCGGTGGGGAGTCTGCTTCTCCCTCTAACCCTCCTCCCTCTCATGCTGTCTTTCATTCTCTCTCTCTCAAATAAATAAATAAAATCTTTAAAAAAAAAGAGAGAGAGAAGAAGAAGGTAGCAGGAGGGGAAGAATGAAGGGGGAGGATCGGAGGGGGAGGCAAACCATGAGAGACTATGGACTCTGAAAAACTGAGGGTTCTAGAGGGGAGGGTGGTGGGGGGATGGGTTAGCCTGGTGATGGGTATTAAAGAGGGCACTTACTGCATGGAGCACTAGGTGTTATGCACAAACAATGAATCATGGAACACTACATCAAAAACTAATGATGTAATGTATGATGATTAACATAACATAATAAAAAAATGTAAATCGAAAACATCCGTAGTTTCGGGTTAATAACAATCTGAGTAATTAAAATAATTATTTATTTTGGGGGTGCCTCCTGGGTGGCTCAGTGGTTAGGCATCTGTCTTTGGCTCAGGTCATGATCTCTGGGTCCTGGGGTCGGGCTCCCGGCTCAGTGGGGAGCCTGCTTCTCCCTCTCCCTCTGCCTCTCCCCCTGCTCATGCTGTTTCTGTGTATCTGTCTCAAATGAATAAAGATCTTTATTTAATCTTTATTAAATATCTTTATTAAATGTCTTAAAACATATATATATAATTATTTATTTGGGGGCACCTGTGTGGGGCAGTTGGTTAAGTGTCCAACTCTTGGTTTCGGCTCAGGTTGAGATCTCGGTTGTGAGATGGAGCCCCGCCTCAGGCTCTGCACTGAGCATGGAGCCTGCTTGGGATTCTCTGCCCCTCCCATTCATGCTCTCTCTCTCATTCTCTCTCTCTCTCTCTAAAATAAATAAATAAATATTTTTTTAAAAAGTAAGTACTTACTTTTCTTTGGGAAAAGAGGAAAAAAAGCCAGAATATGTGGGTAACTGATGTCAGCACTTTGTCTTTGCCACTCAGCACTGCAAATGAGCATGCATCTTGAGAAAGACACTCCTCCTTCTCAATTCCAGTTATAATTTTACAATAGTTTGGCCATTTGGAAGTTCAAAAGACTGTTTCATTATTCTGTTTTCTTTTTTGTTTGTTTCATTTTATTATTTTTAAGGATCAAGTTGCTGGTGAATGTGTTATAGAAAAACCAGATAGAACCCACCCAGGTTTACAGCCACAGAGTTCTGGCTCTGAGCCTTCCCTCTCTCAACAGCGACGACAGAAGAAAAGAGAACTGCCTGAGCACAGTGGGGAAGAGAGACAGGTAGGTCAGCAGAGAGCTCTGTGGAGTAAGTCATTATTCTGCTGCCTGGGAAATAGACTTCATTTAGAATGATTAGCAGTTTCCAAAAAGGCACATAAGAAATACAGGGAACATATGGAGAGGGGTGGCAATGGAGAGATGCTAACTATTAGTTTTCAAATCTCAGTGAGTTAGAAATAAAGATTTTATCTTCCCCAGCAAAAATGAACAGGTCATCTTGAGAGTTAAGGGAACAAGCTAACAAAGAATAAATCTCTTAACCCTTCCTGTGTTATACTGATGAATAGTTTCTCCCTTCTGCATAAAATCATGTCGACACCTCATTTCTTGAAGTGACTTTCATAAGCACCCTCTCTGTAAGCTTCTTAGATGGTCATTCACTTTTGGCAGAGTTTCTTTCCAATAAAGTGCAATGTTTTGAAGTTTTTGAGAGCAAATCACTAACAAATACAAAGGAGACTTACTGGTGGGGGAACTTTGGAGGTAGCTGTATAGGAAATTGATAATTTCCCACCTCCCTCTTTAATTATTTAAGTTCCAGGAGGCTGCTCCTCGACTTTTGCCTTCTCTTCCCACTGTTGGAAAAATGGATGTCACATTAACACAAAAAGATGCTGAAAACCAAAATAGAGTGGCCATTGGGTCTGTGAGCTGTTCGAGGAGCAGGGAGGTGTCATCATCAAAGGTTTGTGGGAGTGTATATTGGATTTTTTTCAACCTTCTTATAAAACTTTTTGGTTGTAAAAATCCTGCATATGTTGTGAGGTTTTGTATTAAAACATCTTACCTGGGGCGGGCTGGGTGGCTCATTCGGTTGAGCCCGATGCAGGGCTCGACCCCAGGACCCTGGGATCATGACCTGAGCTGAAGGCAGACACTTAACAACTGAGCCACCCAAGCACCCTAAATAAATAAAACCTTAAAAACAAAACATCTTAGCCCTGCCTTTTGCCAAACAGCAGAGGGGACAAAAATTGTTATTCTCAGCAGAAGCTTTTATTGAAATGGATGGAATATAGTTCCAGGGATGGTCACGTCCACTTAATTAAGGAAACTAAGTAGATTCTGAATGTAAGAAATGCAGAGTTTTTCATTTGCCCTTCCAAAAATGAGTACTTCCCAGAAATGAGGGTTGTGATCATTCCTAGCTAATAGTTGTAACCGTGATGTGGACTGGTTTTGAACAGATACTCCTTTAAAGACCTGTGCAGGACCTTTCCTATAGTGCTGGATGATAAGTCAAACTTTGCAGTTGTTAGAAAAATAGTGAGTAGGGGTGAAAGTAATTAACTGTCTTTAAAAGGATCGACCATTATCAGCAAGAGAGAGGAGGCGACTAAAGCAGTCACAGGAAGAAGTGTTCCCCTCAGGTAAAGTTTTCTCTTTCCTTCATCTATTGGAGGTTGTTGGTTTGGCTTATGGATATAGCCTTGGTTCTGATTGTGAGGTGTGAAGAATTTTCAACATCAGTGATCCATTTGGGAAACAGATTTGGAAGAATTTTTGAAATTTCTTAGGCCTTTAAAAAAAAATCAGCATAGGCTGTTGGGGTCTGGAACTTGTATTATCAGAGGAAGAGGATATTAAAAAGAGAGCAAGAGGGCTTTGAGTGGCATTAACTCCTGGGAGATTTCAGACAGGAAATGGAGTGAACGTTTCATTTGTTTCCATGTTCAGATTCTGCTCCTCAGGAAGCGCTATCTTCCCAGAAACAGAGAGACGAAGCTGGGAGAATGGTGCTGCCCTGGGCTGAGGGCCATGATCATTCTTATTACTATAATCTAAAGACAGTACTAGCAGTTTCTATTTATTGAATGATGTCTCAAGCATTATGGGAGGCATTTTAAGAGCATTATCTTATCTCCTGTTGACGGTAACTGTCAAAGGAAGGCAGCATTATCTGCATTTTGCCGCTGAGGACACTGAAGCTTGGAGAGGTTACATAACTTGACCAGGGTCACAGAGCTGGTGGACCTAGAACCGAGGTTTGAACTGAGGTGTCAGACACCAGAGTGATGATGAATATGCTGAGTTACTTCTAGGCTGGCACTTGCTGTAAAGCCCTCTTCTGCTGAGGCCAGCCCACCACAAACAACTGCTGGGGGTGCTCACTTTTTCAGGCCCTTCAGTGAGGAGAGCTTGTCGGAGTGCATCAGGGCCAGGGAAACCACCAGAAGAAGGCCAGCCCGCCCCTGCCCATTGGTTGTCTTCCAACTGCACTGTTGCTCAGGTACATTACGCAGTCCTATGGAAAAGGGGGACAGGTCTATATCAGGCAAGCCTAATACAGTAAACCTCATAAATGCCAGCTCCATTGATTTCTGGGACAGCACTGCCTTAAGTTATATTTTTTCACCTTGATAAGGAAAAGAACTGGTGAATAATAACTAAAAGGATTATTTTTCCTCCATTAAAGGAATGAGTTTTTTAGGTGCTCTTATAAGCAGTTGGTAGCTGAGTTACTATCTTTTTTAGGTAGTCTTTAAAACAGGACTTCCAAAAGGCTTCCACTAGGCAACATTTTGCTTATTCTGCTGTGTAACCAATATACCTACCTACCTGGCCGAGTTTTAGTCTCATTTGCATATCTTTGCTCCGTTTCCTGTTTGTGTCAGAGTTCCTTAGCTTCTCCCTAGGGAGGATGCAGGGGCAGCATCTAGTGGCTAAATGGGTGGTTGCAAGGTTTCCAACCCATGTTCATTTTCTGTGTAATGATACCTGGGGAATAATTATCCATTTTTCTGTATTGCAATTTCTGACATTATTTCTAGGAGCATATAATTATTTTAAAAAATAGAAACTTCCTGTTCTTGAAAGTAAGGAAGATTTGTTGCTTTAACAGTATTCTATGAATAAGTTGTTTCACTGATCAAGATATTCCTCTCCATTTTCCAAAGTTGTAAGGTTTGCATATAATTAAATCAAGTAATCCTTTAAGGTATTTTAACAAAGAGTCTCAGATATAAGCAAACTGAGGTTGCTTTTATTTAGGTGGCATTTTATCTAGCTTAAAATTCCTTAGGTTACCAGCCCTCTGCTTAGGAGTTGGAGTACCAGAAGTATTTGTGTGCTTTCTTCTGGAAAGGAAATTTCTTCATAGCTGAGACTTTCCAGGGCCTTGTAAAACTTCACCTTAATGTTCTTCAGGGTTCACTTGTGAACTTTATGGGTGAACTGGGATATCATTTGGGTAAAGTAACTTCAACTTTTAGATCATTAGTTTCTCCTGTTAAATTGGACCCAAGTACACACTGTATCTAGACATTGCATCTAAGAGTGTTGCGTGTGTTATGTTCTGGTTGTGTTGTCATGTGGAATTTTGTTTTTCCAAACACTAAAGGAAAGGAAACTCATCCACTGTCTGTCTGAGGATGAATTAAGTTCTTCTACAAGTTCAACTGATAAATCAGATGGGGATTCCAAGGAACGGTAAGGTTCTTACTTTTCTGTCTCCTTTCATAAACAGTTTCTATTTTGATTAGTCGTACATGTTTATTCAGACCTGTAGTGCTGCCATCAATAACATTATAAATGGGTTTTGGTACATGTTAGAGCTAAAACTCTCTCTTCTAGTGAACACATCTGATTTCATTTGGAATTCTTACAGAATGTTTTCTTAGATCTATGGTTTATAGTTTTCATCAGATTTGCAAAAATTTTGACCGTTAGTTTTTCATAATTTTTTTGGACTCCCTCTTGCCTTCTTGAGGATTTTAACTATGTCTATATTAGATTGTTTATAGTTGTCTGATAGCTCACTGATGGTGTTTGTGTGTTTGTGTGTTTTTTTGTTTTTTAAAAGATTTTATTTATTTATTTGAGAGAGAGAATGAGAGAGAGCAAGCACATGAGAGGGGGGAGGGTCAGAGGGAGAAGCAGACCCCCTGCTGAGCAAGGAGCCCGATATGGGACTCGATCCCGGGACTCCAGGATCATGACCTGAGCCGAAGGCAGTCGCTTAACCAACTGAGCCACCCAGGCGCCCGGTGTTTGTGTTTTTTATACTTTTTTTCTGTTTCATTTTTCATAGATTCTACTGCCATGTTTTTGGGTCCACTAATGTTTTCTTCTACAGTATCTAGTCTGCTCATCCTATCTCATGTTTTCAACACAGTGTATTTTTTAATTTCCAGGAGTTCTATTTGGGTCTTTTTATAACTTCCGTGCCTCTCTTTAATATATTAATGCAGTCCTCTACCTTGGACATGTGGAATATATTTATAATAAGCACTTTAATGTCCTTATCTACAAATTTTATCACTAGTGTCACTTTTGGGTCTGTTTCTATTAACTGATTTTTTTGTCTTCATAAATGTGTGTTGTTTTCCTGCTTCTTTGCATGTCTGGTATTTTTGACTGGGTGCCAGACATTGTCAGTTTTATCTCATTGGGGGCTGGTATTTTTTGTATTGCTTTAAATATTCTTGAACTTTGTACATGGATGTAATTTACTTAAAAATAGTTGGGCAGAATTTATACATAGAACCTGGGGCTTCTTTCTGGTCTCTCTTTTCTAAGATTTCACTCTCACTTTCTAGTGGCTGTGGTTGTCTTGAACTCTGCCCTTTGGTTTTGCAGGCCAGAGAGACTGTGGGTTTTCTGTTGTACTTTAGCGGCCTATGGCCTTCCCTTAGGCTAAAAGTTGTTGACGCTCCTCCAGAACCTGCCTCCAGGTTTTGTACATTCTCCATTGTCTTCACATACTGTATTTTTGTATTTTGTTGAGTTTATACTTATTTATGGAAGGGTCTGTCTATAAGAGCTTACTTAGCTATTTAGAAGCAGAACTTCCTAAATGTTATTTTGTATCTAATTTTTTAATGAAAAATTCTCATAAAGCCAGTGAAATCACAGGGGAATTTTTTTTTTTTCCAGGAAATGTCATACAAATGAAATGAGTGACTTGGTGCAGTTGATGACTCAGACCCTAAAATTGGAGTCTAAAGAGAGCTATGAAGATCTCCTGGTTCCAGAGCCAGTGTCAGAATTTAAACTTCATCGGAAGTACCGGGATACGCTGATACTTCATGGGAAAGTTGCAGAAGCAGCTGAGGACCTCCATTTTAAAGAGCTACCTTCTGGTGATCGGTTTATTTTTTTACAGCAAACTGGAGAGCATGCTTATTGGAGAAATGTGTCACACCAAGAAGATAATGCTGCCAAAATTTTTTTGCTTTTTTATTATTTTGTTTGGATAGCTCCATAAAAGGCATATCTTGTTTTATGCAGCAAGTTGCGTTCCTGAAAAGTTGCCTGAAAGTTGTTTTCTTTAAATAAATATAAGTGCATGTTTGGATTTTTCATGTGACTTTTCTTGAAATTAGACAGTGTGAATTTTAGGTTTAGGAGGTGGTAATGAGATATGAAGTATAAGTTCATATATACATTTGTCATCACTTTAAAAATATACGAAGTTATGAAACCCAACTCTTGTCAAAGTGAAAAGAATCTTAATATGACAAGATTTAAAAAAAAAAAATGTTCTTCATGTTGCTGTGGTGAAAGTATTTATTTTTCCCTGTCTTTGTTAATTGCTTTTTAGCTGTCATGCCAGGTTCTGAAAAGATCAGAAGAATAGTTGAAGTTTTGAGAGCTGATGTAATCCAGGGCCTGGGGATTCAGCTTTTAGAACAGGTGTATGATCTTTTGGAAGAAGACGATGAATTGGAGAGAGAGGTGAGTGTCCCATTAGCTGTGTCAGCTGCTTATGCTATAGAATTCTTTTTAACAGACTTTTGAAATATAATTAACATACTGTACATTTCACCCATTTAAAGTATACCATTCAGTGGTTTTTAGTATGTTCACAGAGTTATATAGCCATTACCACAACCAAAGTTAGAACATTTAATACCCCCAGAAGAGACTCTACTCATCACTCTCCATTGTCCCCCAAGCCCTCCACCCTTAAGCAACCACTGATATTTCTATGCCTATAGATTTGCCTATTCTGGACATTTCATTTAAATAGACTCATACAAAACATGTGGTCTTTTGTGATTGGCTTCTTTCAGTTAGCATAATGTTTTCAAGGTTCATCCTTGAAGCATATATCACATTCTTGTAGCATATATCACATTCTTCATTGTTTTATATGGTCAGATAATATTCCATTATGGCTATACCACATTTTGTTTATCTGTTCTTCAGCTGATGGACACTTAGGTGGTTTCCACTTTTTAACTATTATGAATAGTGCTGCTATGCACATTTGTTTTTGTGTGGACATGTTTTCATTTTTCTTGGGTATGTACCTAGGAGTGGAAATTGCTAAATCATATAGAAAGTCTATGTTTAACATTTTGAAGAACTGCCAGGCTGTTTTCCAAAGTAGCTGTACCATTTTCTATTCCCATCAGTAATGTATGATGGTTCTAATTTCTCCACATTCTTGTCAACACTTGTTATTGTCATCATTTTGATTATAGCCATCCTAGTAGGTGGGAAGTGATACCTCATTATTGTTTTGATTTGCTTTTCCCTAATGGGTAATGATGTTTGCATCTTTTTTTTTTTTTTTAAGATTTTATTTATTTATTTGACAGAGACACAGCGAGAGAGGGAACACAAGCAGGGGGAGTGGGAGAGGGAGAAGCAGGCTCCCTGCAAAGCAGGGAGCCCGATGCGGGACTCAATCCCAGGACCCTGGGATCATGACCTGAGTTGAAGGCAGTCGCTTAACCGACTGAGCCACCCAGGCGCCCTGATGTTTGTATCTTTCATGTGCCTTTTGGTCATCTGTAGATGTTTTTTAGAGACGCATCTATTCTGACCTTTTACATATCTTAGAATTATTATTTATCTTTTTATTGTTGAGTTATAAGAGTTGTTTGTATATTCTAGTTACAAGTCCTTTATCAGATATGTGATTTACAAAAAGTTTTCCTTATTCTGTAGTGGTGTTTTCACTTCCTTCATGGCATTGTTTGTAGCACAAAAGATTTTAATTTTGTTAAAGTCTAATTTATTTATTTTATTTTTTGTTATTTGGAGTTTTGGTGTCATATCTAAGAGGGCTTTGCCTAACCTAAGGTCTTGAAGATTTATTCCTATCATTTCTTCTAATAGTTTTATCATACAAGTTCTTACAAATAGGTCTATAATCCATTTGAGTTCATTGTACAAGGAAGGGCTTCATCTTTATTCTTCTGCATGTGGATATCCAGTTGTCCCAGCAGACTGTTCTTTTCCTACTGAATTGTCTTGACACCCTTTTTGAAAATCAGTTGACCATAATGTAAGGGTTTATTTCTAGACTCTCAGTTATGTTCCATTGGTTTATGTCTCTATGTCTATGCTACAGTGTCTTCATTACTGTAGCATTGTAGTAAGTTTTGAAATCAGGAAGTGTTAGTCGTCTAACTTTACTCTTTTTTTTTCAAACTCTTTTGGCCACTACTCTTCTCCCGTTCTCCCTGGGCTAGTTCCTGATTGGGTCATGCAGATTATTCTCCAGTGAGTCGGTTGCATTTCATCACACCTGCATTATGGAAACTTTCAGAGTAGTGCCTGAACAAACATTTTTTGACTAGTTATACTTTTAAAATATTTATGTTTCTAGTTTTTTGGTGGTAATAATAGCAACAACAGTAAAGCCTTAAATTCCTAGAAATACAGTTGCTTCTCCACCAGTTTATTTTTGTCTTTGATACGTTACCTTATTTTATTCAAATTCCAGTCTGAACACACATGGTCCAAGAACACTCAAACCAAATATAAACAGATGTTAAAGATTGGTTTTTAAATGTCATAATCAGTGATGTCACACTTGCCTGTGATCTCACAACATAAAACCACATCCACACCTCAGTGGCCACCAAACCATTCAGCAGAGCTTCCTTATCTGTGAATTGTTAGCTGATAGTTTTTGAACACTCTTGATAATTTTTTCCGAGCTCTGAATAGCTGTAGGAATCTCAGCAGAGACTGGTTGGAAGAACCAGCTCAACCTAGCCAAAATGTGGCCAAAGCTTTGAGTAAGTCACAGCAGCGCTGGGGCCTTCTCTGCAAGGTTATGGACAAATTGTGCCATGTTCCAGGATGGAAAGTCTGTTATCCTGGATGGCCACTACTGAATGTCACTTCTCTAGCAATTTAATAATAAATGATATCTAAGTGTTGTTTTAATTTTTTATTTTAAAATAATTTTAGACTAACTGAAAGTTGCAAAAAGAATATAAAGAATTCCTGAATACTCCTCATCTATATTCCCTAATATTACTATTCTGCCACTTTTGCTTCATTATTCTCATTCTCCATATGTATAATTATTTTTCTATCCATTTGTGAGAATGTCTCTCCACCTCTAAATTCTTCAGTATTTCCTAAAAACAAGAATATGTCCTTATAGGGGTGCCTGGGTGGGTCATTTGGTTGGATGTCTTGATTTTGGCTCAGGTCATGATCTCGGGGTTTTGGAATCAAGCCCTGCATCAGGCTCCACACTGAGTGCAGAGCCTGCTTGGGATTCTCTCTCTCTCTCTCTCTCTGGAAAAAAATAAATAAATAAAAAGAATATGTCCTTATATAACCACAGCTCAGTGACCAAATTCAGAAAATTAACATTAATGCAATACCATTATCTAATTTACAGACCTTACTTAAATTTCACTAATTGTCACGCTGATACCCTTTATAGCAAAAGAAAAAAATCTTTCTGTTCTAGGATTCAGTAGATTCAACTCAATCAGGTTGAATTAAATTAAGGATTACCTTTTTTAATAGGTTTATTAAGATATAATTCACATACCATGTGATTCACCCATTTTAAGTGTACAGTTCAGTGGTTTTTAATATATTCACAAATATATATTTGCTCTCACCACAGTCAATTTTAAATATTATTGTCTCCTTAAAAACCTTGTACTTCTAGCTGTTGGCCCTCTATCTTCTCCTTTCAGCTCTAAGGAACCAGTAATCTGCCTTTTCTATATAAATTTACCTATTCTGGACATTTCATTTAATAGAATCATATAAAATATGTAGTCTTTTGTGACTGGCTTCTCTCACTTAGCATGATGTCTTCAAGGTTCATCTGTCTAGGAGCATGTATCAGTACTTCATTCCTTTTTATGGCTGAACAGTATTCTGTTGTGTGGCTATGCCACACAATATTTTGTTTAATCTTTTCATCAGTTGATGGACATTTGGGTTGTTTCCACCTTTTGCCTATCGTGACTAAGTTTGGTATAAACATTGGTGTGCAAGCTCCTGTGTGCATTCAGTTCCCTTGGGTGTATAACTAGGAGTGGAATTGTTGGATCGTATGGTAATCTACATTTAAATGTTTGAGGAACTTCCAGATGGCTTTCCAAAGCAACTGCACCATTTTACATTTCTACCAGCAGCATAAGAGGGTTCTGATTTTTCCACATTCTAGTCAACACTTGTTATTATCTGACTTTTTGTTTATAGACTTCTTAGCAGATATGAAGTGGTATTCATTGCATTTCCCAGATGACTAATAATGTACTACTTTCCATTTGTATATTTTCTTTGGAGATATGTCTACTCAAGTTCTTTGCTGATTTTTAAATTGAATTATTTATATTTTAATTAATGAGTTGTGGAATTCTCTATATATTCTAGATAGAAGTCTTATTTTCAAATATATGATTTATAAATATTTTTCCCATTCTGTGGGAGTGGTAGAATGTCTTTTTACTCCCCCACCCTCTTTTTTTTTAACGGTGTGAAATCCTTACCTTTATTTCAATGGGAGGCGGTGGTCGGGGCAAATCCTGTTGGTCTGGGGGCAGCTCCAGGTCCTCCCTGTGGGCGCTGGGGTGCTTGGGGCCAGCCTCTCCTTTGTAGGCCCCCACCTTTGGGGTGCAATGGGTTTGGGCAGGGCCCTGCCCCCTGAATTTCTCCAGCTCCACCTTCAGCCCATCATTCACCTTGGGTGGCAAGTGCAGCTGCTGCCCCACCTCCTCTTCTTTTTACTTCCTTTATAGTGTTCTTTGAAGCACAAAAATTTTCAGTTTTGAGGAAGTCCAATTTATTTTTCTTTTGCTACTTGTGTTTTTGGTGTCATCAAAGAACCCATTGCCAAGTCCAAGATCATATAGGTTTACCTTTAGGTTTTTCTCTAAAAGGATTATAGTTGTAGTCTGTACATTTAGGTCTTTGATGTATTTTGAGTTAATTTTTTTATATGTTTTGGAGTAAAGGTCCATCTTCATTCTTATATATGTGGCTATCCTGTTGTCTATCATTTGTTGGAAAGACTATTCTCTCACCTTGTCAAAAAAAAAAAAAAGACCATATACACATGGATTTATCTTTAGACTCTCAATACTATTCCTTTAATCTGTGTTTGTCCTTATGCCGGTACTATACTGTCTTGTTAACTGTTGTTTTGTAGTAAATTTTGAAATCAAGATAGATGAATCCTCCAACTTGGTTATTTTTCAAAATTGTTTTGGCTGTTCTGGGTCCCTTACAATTCTATAGAATTTGCTTGTCAATTTCTTCAAAGAAGCTAGCTGGGATTCTTATAGGGACTGAATTGAATCTGCAGATTAATTTGTGGAGTATTACCATCTTAATAAATGACTTTTGATTCATGAACATGTGATTTTCCATTTATTTAGATCTTAAGTTTCCTTAAACAATGTTTTACAGTTTTCAGAGTGTAAGTTTGGTACCTCTCTTGTCAAATTTATTCCTGTGTATTTTCTTCTTTTTGATGCTATTGGAATTTTATATATTCATTTGGGATTGTTTATTGCAAATGCATAGTAATAAATTTGATTTTGAAAATCTTGACCTTGGGTCCTACAACCTTGCTAAGCTTGTTTACTGGGTTTAATATTCTTTTTTTTTTTTTTTTTTTTTGGTGGTAGTGGACTCCTTGGAATTTTCTATATATAATATGTCATCTGTAAATAGAGTTAGTTTTACTTTCTAGTTTTCTTTTCTTGCCTATTGGCCTGGCTAGAACCTCCAGTACAGTGTTGAGTGGAAGTGGTGCAAGTGGACAACCTTGACTTGTTTCTGATCTAACAGGGAAAGCATCCCGTCTTTCACCATTAGTTGACTGTGGGTTTTTATAGATACCCTTTATGAGGTTGAAGAAGGTTCCTTCTTTTCCTGGTTTGTTGAGTGTTTTTTTGCTTCGTTTTTCAAAGAAGGTGTTGGGTTTGTCAGATGCTTTCTATTTTGATGATTATATGGCTTTTGTATTTAATGCTATTGACAGTGTGTTATATTAATTGATTTTGGGGTGTTAAACCATCCATGCATTCCTGTGATATACCTCACTTGGTCATGTTATATACTACTACTTATATGATTTTGGAGTCATGTTTCTTGTATTTTGTTGAAGATTCTTTTGTCCATATTCTTACAAGATATTGGTCTTTAATTTTCTGTGATGTCTTTGGTTGTGTTATTAGGGTAATAATTGCTTCATAGAATGTGTTGGGCAGTGTTCCCTAATCATCTATTTTTTTGGAAGAGTTAATGAGTAATTGGTATTCTTTTAATGTTTGATAGAATTCACCAATGAAGGCATCTGGGCCTGGGCTTCTCTTTGTGGATAGTTTCTTGATGATGAACTTAGTGTCTTGTTATACTCAGATTGTCTGTTCTTCTGTTTCTAATTTTGTGTCTTAGGAATTTGTCCATTTCATCCAAGTTAACTAATTAGCATGTAATTATAGCAATCCTTTTAAATATTTTTTATTTCTGTAAGGTTGGTTATTTAGGAGTGTGTTGTTTAATTTCCATATATTTTTAAGTTTCCCCAATTTCTTTCTGTTACTTATTTCTAATTGCATTTTATTGTGGCTATAGAACATACTTATTATTTTTATCTTTTGAAATTTATTGAGCTTTGTTTTATGGTCTAGCATATGGTCTAACCTGGAAATTTTCTGTGTGCACTGGAGAAGAACATTTATATTCAGCTCTCGTTGTGGGGACTATTTTTTAGATGTCTGTTAGTTGTAGTTTGTTTATAGTGTTGACCAAATAGCTTATTTTCTTGTTGATCTTCTGCTGCTGCTGCTTCTTTTTTTTAATTTTATTTTCCTTGTTGATCTTCTGCCTGGTTGTTTTGCCCATTACTGAAAGTGGAGTGTTATGTCTCCATCGATGTCATTGATGTCTCCAACTATTGTTGAATTTCTTCCTCCACTTCTATTAATTTTGCTTCATGTATTTTGGTGCTTTGATTAGGTGCTTAGATGTATATAACTGTTATATCTTTCTGATGGATTGACTCTTTTATCATAAAATGTTCCTCTTTATCTCTAGTAACATGTTTTTGTTTCAAAGTCTATTTTAGCTGATATTAGTATAGCCACTTCAGCTTTCTTATGGTTGCTGTTTGCATGGTATATCTTTTTCTGTCCTTTTACTTTCAGTCTGTTTGTACCGTTGATCTATTATGTGTTTCCTATAGATACTGTATACGGCTGGGTCTTGTATTCTTACCATCCTAACATTCTGCCTTTTGATTGGATCATTTAATCCATTCACGTTAAATGTTAGTACTGATACAGTTGGATTTATGTCTGCATTTTACTTGTTGTTTTGTATATGTCTCGTGTTTTTTTTGTTCTTGTATTTCTCCTTTACTGCTTTCTTTTGCATTAAGTGAATATTTTCTAATGTAGCATTTTAATTTCCTTAATAATTTTTTTCCTATATATTTTCCATTTCTTTCCTTAGTGGTTGCACTAAAGCTATCATATACATCTTAAATTATCAGAATCAACTTCAGCTTTATACTCACTTAATTCCAGTGAGATGTAGAAATGTTATTCCTATTCTCTTTTTCCCTTTATGGTGATATCATTTTACGTATCATACATGTCATATAAATGTTACAAAACCAACATTATCTTGTTATAATTATTTCTTTATATGGCTTTATGTCTCTTGAAGTTGAAAGAGAGGAGAGAAAGTATATGTTTGTAGCTTTTTCTGTAGTAACCTTGTTATTTATTAATTTCTGGTTCTCTTCATTTATTCCTGTAGATTCAAGTTACCATCTGGAGTCATTTCCTTAGCCTAATACAGCTTTGCTGCTACCCACCTCCTTTGTGGTGCTATTGGCAAATAGATTACATTTCTATATGTTAAAGACTCAACAATATATGATACAGTGTTTTTAAAAATTGTTTTAAAAAATTAATAATTAATAATTTTAAAACACATTAAGTTGTTTAATTTGTGTTATACACATATTGCTTATTTAATTGTAGTAAAATACACATAATTTCAAATTTACCATTTTAACAATTTTTAAGTGTTTGGTTCAATGACATTAAGTATGTTCCTGTTGTAGTACCAACATCACCACCATCTGTCTCTAATCTGACTTTATATCAGCTTACATTCAATAACATAAACTCTGCTGCTTTAAAGCTCTGTACCCACCCTTTTCAGTTACTGATGTCACAAAATTACATCTTTATATATTGTGAGTCCAAAAACATAAACTAGTAACTGGCCTTTTTAATGCATTAGTCTCTTAAATTTTGTAGAAAACTAAACAAAGTTACAATAGTACTAACTTTTAGACTAATAATTTTTTGAATGTATCTCTTAATTCATGTAGAAAACAAAAAGTGGAATTATAAACTGTTGTTACATAATACTAGCTTTGATAATTGCCCACATATCACCTTTACTGAGATCTTTGTTTCTTCATACAGCTTTGAGTTACTGTCTGGTGTCCTTTCATTTCAACTTTTTTTGTTTGTTTGTTTTATAAGATTTTATTTATTTGACAGAGAGAGGGAGAGTACAAGCAGTGGGAGCAGCAGACAGAGGGAGAAGGAGAAGCGGGCTCCCCGCTCAGCAGGACCCGGGGATCATGATCTGAGCTGAAGGCAGACACTTAAGTGACTGAGCCACCCAGGCACCTGCTTTCATTTCAACTTAACAGGACTCCCTGTAGTATTTTTGCAGGCTGGGTCTGATGGTAAAAATTCTTCGTCTTTTGTTTATCTGGTAATATCTTAAGTTCTCCCTTACTTTTTGCCCTCAGTTTTATTGAGACATAATTGATATATAACATTGTGTTTAGGGTGTACAACATAATGATTTTTGTATATATTGCAAAATGATTACCACAGTAAGTTTGGTTAACATCCATTACCTCTCATAATTATAACAATTTTGTTCTTGTGATGAGAACTTATAAGATCTACTCTTAGCAACTTTCAAATGTATAATACAGTATCATTAACTGTAGTCACCATGCTGTACGGTTACATCCCCAGAATTCATTTACCTCACAAAGTTTGTACCTTTTGACCACCTTCACCCATTTCCCTAACCACCCCCACCCCTACCTCTGGCAACCACCAATCTGTTCTCTATTCAGTTTTTTAAAATTCTGCATAAGTGAGATCATGCAGTATTTATTTGCCTTTCTGTTTGACTTATTTCACTTAGAATAAGGCCTTCAAGATACATCGATGTTGTTGCAAATGGCAGTATTTCTTTTTCTTCCTCACTTTTGAAGGATATTTTTGCCAGATAAAGGATTCTTGGTTGACAGGTTTCTTTCTTTTCTTTCTTTCTCTCTTTCTCTTTTTCTTTTCTTTCTTTCCTTCCTTCCTTTTCTTTCCTTTTCTTTCTTTTCTTTCATTTTGAAAATACTGCCCAGTTGCCTTCTGGCCTCCAAAATTTCTCATCAGAAATCTGCTGATAATCATGTTGGAGATCCCTTGTATGTGAGGAGTTGCCTCTTTCTTGCTGCTTTCAAGATTCTCCCTTTCTCTTCAGCTTTCAACAGTTTGATTATAATGTGATGGGTAGGAACTGTTTGTTTCAGCCTACTTAAGAGTTCATTGAGCTTCTTGGATGTTTAGGTCTTTCTTCAAACTTGGTACATTTTGGCTATTTCCTCAAATAATCTCTCTTCCTCTTTCTTCCCCTTTGGGATTCCCACTATGCATATATATTGGTCTCTTTAAATCCCCTGTAAGTTGCTTCAGCTGGAGGGGGAGGGGTTTGTAACAGGATCAGTGAGGGCTGCAACAGTGGTTGCCTGCTTCTGTGTGTACACCTCTGATCAGAAGCAGCAGTCATCTCTCAGTACACAGATCCCCAGTATTTGGAGGACAAGGTTCTTACTGCCTTCCCTGGCTCCACAAGCTGTGTGCAGGCTGCTGCAGAACATCTGCACAGCTGGGGGCGGGGCGGTGCTAGGAACTGAAATTGATTGAAATTAACCACAGTTTACCCTCCAAGCCTTCCCCTGGAAGTTGCAAGCCTTTAATAGACTGCAGAAGTTCTGAAATAGTTACATCAGGCATTAAGCCAGTACAGTTTTTGTCCATGTGAGGAGCTATAGTCCTGGTCCTTTCTCTGTCATCTTTCATACATATTGTATTGTATATTTACTTTTTTTTTTTTTTAAGATTTTATTTATTTATTTGAGAGAGAGAGACAGTGAGAGAGGGAACACAAGAAGGGGGAGTGGGAGAGGGAGAAGCAGGCTTCCCGCTGAGCAGGGAGCCTGATGTGGGGCTCCATCCCAGGACCCTGGGATCATGACCTGAGCCAAAGGCAGACACATAAGGACTGAGCCACCCAGGTGCCCCAGAAAAGTTCTTCTTCTAAGATTACAAAAATGTTTTCTTCTACTATATACTGATTTTCTTTTTATGTTTCCCAAATAGGTACGTTTGCAGGAGCACATGGGTGAAAAATATACAACTTACAGTGTGAAAGCTCGCCAGTTGAAATTTTTTGAAGAAAATGTGAATTTTTGAGAATTTAATCTGCCAGAACTAAAGACCTATTTTTAAAGGTTTTTGGCTTAAACAGAAACAAACCCATAATAATGATTGGAGGCCATTCACCGTCCTTATTTCTCCTTTTTTTTTTTTTAACTGGGAGAAAAGTGGGATCGAACAGAGTAACATGAAGCAATGTCACAAAAGAAAGAAAAAACCTTTGGCTAGCTTACTCTCTTGACGAAGAAAATCTATTAGAAGATGTCTGGTTACTGTTTACTGAGCCTTAAACCACCAGTTTTATATTTAGAACTTTATTTTTAAGGTACTAATTAGCTTGATTACAGGGCCATAAAATTAGATTGGAAGTTTTATATTGTACTATAGTGATAAATGCATAGGAGAAGTAAATAATATGTCATAGTGATACTCGTCATTGTTAATAACTAGGTAGTAGTTGATAAATTATTTTTTTAAAAAGTCAATTCATGATTCTGGGAGTAGATTTGAATATGAATATGAAGTTGTATCTACTATTTGAGCAACTGAATTCCTTTTTCATATATTGATGGATGTTTAGCCTTTTATTTTCATTTAATATGAACCTCATTTACAGTATATAAGAATTGAAACAAATATTTTGGCTTTGTCAATCAACATTTTTGTATACTGGTCTTTTTTTAAGAGTAATATTTTCATTGGCAAGAACTTTTCCTAAAACACTAATTCCCTTTCCAATTAAGCAATTTGTAAGTGCAGTCCAGCTCCTTTTAGTTATGTTGGACATATTTATCTCCTGAAGTTTTTCGCCTTGTACATCAAATTACTGGTTGTCTTTAAATGTATGACTGTGTATCACATATTTTATTAGTTGTTTAATAAGGGGGTAATTCCCATGTGGGAAATAAATTGTTTTTATATAAGTCTTGATAGGTAAATTTTCACTTCTATATTCAAGGGACTTTATTAAAAATGAATACTGCTCCAGAAATGTTTTCATTTTTTATAATTAAAAATGTTACATGACCTTCTTTGAAAATTACACATAAAATATTCTAACAAAATGTTCCCTTTCTAGTCACTTAACAGACTTTTAGTTTTTACTGTATGCCAGGTGCTGTAGGTCAGAAGCTGCGGATATAGAGTAAAACACAATACTCCTTGCTCTTACAGTGCTCATAGTCTGGTTTCTGAGACCTCTTAGTTTTACTTTGAAGGGTTTGTTAGAACTCAACAGTAAAACCACCTAGTCTCAGTCCCACTTGGGGCAAATCTTTGGCAAACTGGGTTTTCCTGAACTATTAACCATTTCTTGCATGTTTTACGAATCTACATCTTTTTGGAAAGACATCAGTTTTACTCAAGTTTCTCACTTATTGCCATAATGTACATATTATTTTCTTAGAATTTAAAAATTCTCCCCCATATGTTATTCCCATTCTGTATATTTTTATTTTGCTTAAACATTCATTCAGTTTTCATTCCAATATCTTTTGGTTATTCTGTAGTTTTTCTTTCCTGAGTGCTTAATCATTTTTAATCTTTCTTATATAATTATAAAACACCTTTAACAGCATGAATTTTCTTCTCAGTATACCTTTGGCCACATTTCAGATTTTGATATTATTTTGACATTAACTCTTAAATAGTCAGTAATTCTGGTTTTGATTTTAAGAAGTGTTCCTTAGGGACACCTGAGTCACTCAGTTAACCATCTGCCTTTGGCTCAGGTCATGACCCCAGGGTCCTGGGATCGAGCCCCACATCAGGCTCCTTGCTCAGTGGGAGCCTGCTTCTCCCCCTGCCTGCTGCTCCCCATTCTTGTGCGTGCTAACAAATCTTTAAAAAAAAAAAAAAGGTAGTGTTCCTTAATTTCCATATACAAAGTTCCCTCGCTATCCGAAAGTAGAGCATTCCTATGAAACCTTTGGTAAGCTGAAATGGTGAAAAGCGAAGAGTATCCCCCACTTTCTGAAAGTTCGTGACACGCCACTTCGCTTTTATGAAAGACCTACAGTAATACCTGTTTTTGCTAACTGAAAGAAATCTGAAGAGGATTTTCGCTTTTATGAAAAAAACCATTACTGTAGAAATGTAAGCCTTTTGTAAAAGCAAAGTGACATGAAATGAGCTTTTGGAAAGCAGAGGATACCTGTATTTCGAAAGCCAAGAAAATTCTATCTCCTTGCTCCAGCTACATTGCAGTGTTGTTACTGAATATGACCTGCCCAACTTTTATTTCTTGGAATTGTTTTCCCTGTGCCTCAGTAGATGATCCATTATTGAAATGGCCCTATGGGCATTTAATAAGATGAATTCTGTTATGCACAGAATCACTTGCCTTTATTTATTATTCAAACCTATGAATAAGACCTGATCAACAAAGTATTGTGATGATGGAAATGTTCTGTATCTGCAATGTGATAAGGCAGCCACTGGTCATATATGGCTTTTGAGCTTTCAAAATGTGGCTAGTTTGAGGAACTCAATCTTTTAGTTTTAATTTTTTAAAAAGTTTATTTTTATTTTTTTAAAGATTTTATTTATTTATTAGAGAATGAGAGCGAGCGAGCACATGAGAGGGGGGAGGGTCAGAGGGAGAAGCAGACTCCCCGCCGAGCAGGGAGCCCGATGGGGGACTCGATCCAGGGACTCCAGGATCATGACCTGAGCCGAAGGCAGTCGCCCAACCGAGCCACCCAGGTGCCCTAAAAAGTTTTTTAAAAGATTTTATTTATTTGACAGAGACATAGCAAGAGAGGGAACACAAGCAGGGGGAGTGGGGAGGGAGAAGCAGGCTGCTTCCTACCCAGCAGGGAGCCCGACATGGGCTCGATCCCAGGACCCTGGGACCATGACCTGAGCCAAAGGCAGACACTTAACAACTGAGCCACCCAGGCGCCCCTAGTTTTAATTTAAATAGATACATGTGACTAAGGGCACCATATTGGATAGTGCAGCTCTGAATTACTCAATCAGTAAGTATTTATTGAGCACCTACAAAGTGTCACAAACTTTTATAGGTACTACACAAACAGGAAAGAGCATAACAAGATCCCTGTTCCCAGGAAGCTTACATTCTGGGTGGGACCAAGGAAAAAAGATGTAATGTTCCCGGGATATATTAGTGCATATAAAATAATGAGGCATGTCACTTTATTTTGATAGGTCAGGAGATGCTTCTTTATAGTCACATCTGAGTAGAGACCTGAGTGAAAGGAAAGAACAAGTCATGTATATGAAGGAAGATGTTTCAAGTACAGAGAACAAGTGCCAAAGTCTTCCTTTTGATCACCTGTCCACTTGATCTACCAAAATCTGAAAGGTAGTGTTAGTCTCCTACCAAGAGTAGGAGTTTAGCTTTGCCAAACTCTTACGTGTGTAACATTCTTTATACATTTCACGTCATTTAATACATAATGATTATTAACAGTGACATCTTAGCTATGAAATGTTCTTTTTCCCCATTTAATGCTTTCTGATATTAAGTATCTGACTTTCTCACTATTACCCCTTCTTTCTGCCTGCATCTGCCAAATATATCCTTGTTCCTATTTTCAACCTTTGGTGTCATCGTGAAAATATGAGGTAACTTGATGTTTAACACCTTGATGTTTAACACCTTTTGGGAGTTCCTTTTTAATCACATTTATTACTCTTAATGATATGCTTGGTCTTATTTCTGCTGTCTTAATTTTTCTTTTTTTTTTTTAAACCTTTCTGACTTTTGCCGTATTAAGGTCTTTGCTCTCATTTTTTTTCCCCCTGTGTGTGAAATTGCCTTTTTAAAAATTTTTTGTTACGTTAATCACCATACATGACATCGTTAGTTTTTGATGTAGTGTTCCATGATTCACTGTTTGTGCATAACACCCAGTGCTCCATGCAGAACATGCCCTCTTTAATACCCATCACCAGGCTAACTCATCCTCCCACCCCCCTCCCCTCTAGAACCCTGAGTTTGTTTTTCAGAGTCCATCATCTCTCATGGTTCGTCTCCCCCTCCGATTTCCCCCCCTTCATTCTTCCCCTCCTTTTTTTTTTTCTTAACGTATATTGCATTATTTGTTTCAGAGGTACAGATCTGTGATTCAACAGTCTTGAATCACAATGCACAATTCACAGTGCTCACCATAGCACATACCCTCCCCAGTGTCTATCACCCAGCCACCCCATCCCTCCCACCCCAACCCCCACTCCAGCAACCCTGTTTCCTGAGATTAAGAATTCCTCATATCAGTGAGGTCATATGATACATGTCTTTCTCTGATTGACTTATTTCGCTCAGCATAACACCCTCCAGTTCCAGCCACGTCGTTGCAAATGGCAAGATCTCATTCCTTTTGATGGCTGAATAATATTCCATTGTATATATCTACCACATCTTCTTTATCCATTCATCTGTTGATGGACATCTTGGCTCTTTCCACAGTTTGGCTACTGTGGACATTGCTGCTATAAACATCGGGGTGCACGTACCCCTTCAGATCCCTACATTTGTATCTTTGGGGTAAATACCCAGTAGTGCAATTGCTGGATCATATGGTAGCTCTATTTTCAACTTTTTTTTTTTTTTTAAGATTTTTTATTTATTTATTTGACAGAGAGAGACACAGCGAGAGAGGGAACACAAGCAGGGGGAGTGGGAGAGGGAGAAGCAGGCTTCCCGCCGAGCAGGGAGCCCGATGCGGGGCTCGATCCCAGGACCCTGGGATCATGACCTGAGCCGAAGGCAGACGCTTAACGACTGAGCCACCCAGGCGCCCCTCTATTTTCAACTTTTTGAGGAACCTCCATACTGTTTTCCAGAGTGGCTGCACCAGCTTGCATTCCCACCAACAGTGTAGGAGGGTTCCCCTTTCTCCGCATCCCCGCCAACATCTGTTGTTTCCTGACTTGTTCATTTTAGCCATTCTGACTAGTGTGAGTTGGTATCTCATTGAGGTTTTGATTTGGATTTCCCTGATGCTGAGTGATGTTGAGCACTTTTTCATGTGTGTGTTGGCCATTTGGATGAAAAATGTCTGTTCATGTCTTCTGCCCATTTCTTGATTGGATTCTTTGTTCTTTGGGTGTTGAGTTTGATAAGTTCTTTATAGATTTTGGATACTATCCCTTTATCTGATATGTCATTTGCAAATATCTTCTCCCATTCTGTCGGTTGTCTTTTGGTTTTGTTGACTGTTTCTTTTGCTGTGCAAAAGCTTTTTATCTTGATTAAGTCCCAATAGTTCATTTTTGGCCTTGCTTCCCTTGCCTTTGGCAATGTTTCTAGGAAGAAGTTGTTGCGGCTGAGGTCAAAGAGGTTGCTGCCTGTGTTCTACTTTAGGATTTTGATGGACTCCTGTCTCACATTGAGGTCTTTCAACCATTTTGAGTCTATTTTTGTGTGTGGTGTAAGGAAATGGTCCAGTTTCATTCTTCTGCATGTGGTTGTCCAATTTTCCCAACACCATTTGAAGAGACTTTTTTCCATTGGACATTCTTTCCTGCTTTGTCAAAGATGAGTTGACCATAGAGTTGAGGGTCCATTTCTGGGCTCTCTATTCTGTTCCATTGATCTATGTGTCTGTTTTTGTGCCAGCACCATGCTGTCTTGATGATGACAGCTTTGTAATAGAGCTGGAAGTCCGGAATTGTGATGCCGCTGGCTTTGCTTTTCTTTTTCAACATTCCTCTGGCTATGTGGGGTCTTTTCTGGTTTCATACAAATTTTAGGATTATTTGTTCCATTTCTTTGAAAAAAGTGGATGGTATTTTGATGGGGATTGCATTGAATGTGTAGATTGCTCTAGGTAGCATTGACATCTTCACAATATTTGTTCTTCCAATCCATGAGCATGGAACGTTTTTCCATTTCTTTGTGTCTTCCTCAATTTCTTTCATGAGTATAGTTTTCTGAGTACAGATCCTTTGCCTCTTTGGTTAGATTTATTCCTAGGTATCTTATGGTTTTCGGTGCAATTGTAAATGAGATCG